ATTAGTGAGACTTTTGTCAAACAACTTGAATGCTGCGGCCGACGGCAGTGCTCTCGAAGCTTTCTTCGGGTTCAGCCTTTTCCTAGTCGTGTTGCTTGCCCATCGGCTCAGCTTTGTTGCAGTCGATGCTTCGCCCTCGGAGCACGATGTCACTTGTTTTTTGATAGGCTTGCATGACTCGCCAAATTCCCTGCAACCCAAGCTGAAAGCCGGCCTGGTTGCAACTGCGTGTCATCGCAAGAGGTGCATCAATCGGCCGTCGGCGGTCTTGGACATGCTTCTACAGACGGTTCAAATCAAGTGCCATGCAGCCGGGCCACCGCCCAACTTGGCTCAACATCCACTTCTGTGGCAAGTATGCTCCTGTTGGTTGCTTCGAGTGACTCGCTGCATGTGGTTCAGGCTATCCTTACACAGACAGAGACAGTTAGGCCTTGAAAGAAGAAGACTCTAGGATGATGTGGGCTCTGCTCGGGCTCTCCCTATGGCCAAGCCTCGCTGCAGAGGAAGTTTGCATGGACAAGTCCTGCAAGGATGCGCTGCCGGCGCTGCCTGCAGCGGAGAACATGCTGTTCCTCCACATTCCTTACAACTTCGGTTACACCGTTGGAGTGGCAGCTCTCTTTGGCCACAAGGTGACCTCGACTTGGTCGGTGCCCGAGGCCTGGAAACGGTCGGAGGAGTCCAGACCTCAGTGTCAGAGCATGTTTGAGCTATCAGCAGAGCTAGCAGGGTCCACAAGAGGCGGTGAGCTTTGTCGGAATTTCATTTGATGTCCACAATATGGTTGCCAAGGTTGTTCGGTGACAAGGGCGCCCAGGTCGAAGGCTCGTCAGCCGTGTGGTATCATGCCCGCCCTTCACCAGCCGCTCGGTTGCTGCTCTGTACTTGGAGGCTCATGCTTCTATCTTACAATTGCGGTAACCTATGCAAGGCCAGTTAAAGAAATAGAAGCAGGCTTACAAGCCCAGTCATAACCCCATGACCCTCCAAGTATGGTCTCTGATGGTAGCCTCGAATGCAGGAGCCTGGTGAAGACACCTGGTTCTAAGTCCTTCATCCAAGCGTTCAGGGCGCCGTTTGAGAACTCCAGAGTCTCATCAGGTTCCGTCCTGCACGATCTCCAGTGAAGATTTGCAGTTTTCTTTCAACTGGATCGTTCCCAGGAATAATGGTAAATTATTATGGACAAGAATCCCCATATGTTCCCTATAGAGCTATAAGAATTTAGTTTTTATAGAGCCCCTGAGTCAGATGTAGCTCCAGTGAAGGATTGTAGTTTTCTTTTGAAGTCTTTTTGTGTTTGGACTGGCCTCGGTTATTGTTATTCCCGGGGTCACTTTGGATCATCAGCATGGTAGTCCGTGCGCAGCCAATATGCGTAGTCCTTGCAAAGAGGGCCGTGGAGCCAAGCCTGAGATCCAGGAAACCAGACACACCAAAATAATCTACAGGACATTCTCTTAAAGCCCAATCCCTGTGGTAGCTGAATGAGCCAGGATAGTTTCTTGTAGATTCTCCTATATCTGGTTTCCTGGATACCTCAAGAAGGGTGCCTCAATACCACCCCGAATAGCCTGTATATGGCCTTATATTCAGCAAAAGGCATCTTTAACAGCAGCCCCCGATGCCCCCGAACCCAGATTTACAACCCCAAGTATACCAACAACCCGGCCAAAACCAGTCGTTTGGAAAGCTGCGCAGCACGCAGCGCCCTTCAACTGCCCTCAATGAGATTCTAGGTATCACGAAAGAAGGACCACAAGATTCGAATTAAGTGTAGTGGTCTAAGACCACCCTAAACCCTAAACAGCCCAGGCCGTGGTAGAGCAAGCCCTTGCGGCGAATCCAGAGGCGAAGCTCTGGGGAGGCGTGGCGCCGGAGCTGCAGCAGATCTCGGAAGTCACCGGCTGCCCGATGTCCCGCGTCCGGTCTTAAGGGTCTGATCAACTGTGGGTTGATCACCCTCTCTCCCTCTCTCTTTACATGAGTTAATATAGTCAACTGATTGATAAGCAAGAAACAGCTATATATGTATATGTATGTACGAATGTAAACATAGAGAGATAAATCGATATGCACGTATATATATATATACATATATATTGCAAAATTAATGTAAAAGTGTAAATGTCAATATGAATATGAATATAGGTATGAATATGAATGCAAAGGTGAATATACACATATATAGATATAAATACAAATACGAGTTGAAATATGAACACAAATGCGCATAGAAGTTTAAGTACAGACATATACATATACATATATATACATGTGTACCATACATATGTACGTAACATGTGAAATGTGGAATCAAAGCCCCCGATGTTGAACAGCTCCCATTGTAGTGAAGACGACAACGCAGGTACTTCACACCGCCGAAATACTGGCCGGAGGATCTTGCCAAGTCGTACATTGCTGGGAAGAAGGTCTTTGGCATACTTCGCAATCCCTATGAGCGCCTCACTGCAATGTTCCGTGGCGGCTACTCGCAGTACGGAGGTTTTCCGTCGCACTTCCACAAGGTCTGCGATGTGAATGGTGCACTCAGGTGGCTCATGCAAGGTCTCATGAATGGCACCGTGGGAAAGTATGCCAGCCAATGCACCTTCATTCCTCAAGCGGAGTACTTCGAGGGTCCTTACGGCATCCAGATTGCAGTGGACAACTTGTACTTCCCCGAGAGTCTGAACAGGCTGCTCTCCTACAACGGCCTGCAGTCAGCTTTAGTGGAGCAGAATGTGATTCTTCAGATAACAGGCTGCAACAATGTCTGGGCAGCCGACCTGGATGCCCAGACCAAAGACATGGTGTACCAGTACTTCAAGGCGGATTTTGAGATGCTGTGCCAGCGCTTTGGGTACTGCGACTACGCGGCCAACACATGCTTGCCAAAGGTCCCTGGCATGTGTCCGGACAAAGCCTTTGCGTGGGACGACACTTTCAAGCAGTATGTGCCGAGGTCTTGAGATGGCCCCAGGCGCGGACAACGGCCATCTTAAGGGTACCATATGTGTATATATATATGTGTGAAAACAAACATATTAATATACATATGAAGATGAATAAAGACATAAATATACAAAGTACATATACCTATAGATAGGAATACACATGTACGAGGACCGTATTATGGGCCCTGCTGGCCTTCTTAGGATCTTCTGAGGTAGCCTGTGCGGCTTCATTAGAGTCGGAGGTGCCTCTAGACGTCTCTGATCAAGCCGCGGCCACAAAGTGTCGCAAAAGTCGCAAAGGGGCCGGTTGCGAAGCCTGACGCTGCACAGGCCGCTGGTCTGCTAAGGGGCATGATCCGTTCTATGGGCCCCGTGTGGTCGATGGTATGCAATTGGTATGTCACCTGGTGTGTATTGGGGTCCAGACAGCGGCCGTAATAGGGGCCCATAGGAAAGCCTTGGAGGCCCAACCTGACAAACAAGGATCCTGCTACTATTCACATGACTGCCGTACATGAGGCAGGGTTGTTATTAGGGTTTGGTGAGGGTACAGCCATTAGATAGAATGAACCACAGTATATTAATAACCATAATACTAATGATAATACTAAGAATATGTTCCCTATATCCCATATTCTTTCTACTTCAGGATGGTTGTAGCCATGTCTTCTTGGGATTCTTTTGCCTACCTGCTCAGTGCTGCCGGGTGGCATTCTGCACATTATCTCTGCACGGTGCTGCTGCATGTTCCCAGAGCCAGGCGTGCCAATTTCAAACAGCAGCCGAGGCGTTCCAGGCGTTGCAGGCTCAAGTCTTACCAAGGCTAAACCCGGCCCTGTGCATCCTGTGCCGAGTTAGCAGAACCCAGTCCCCGAAGCTTCTCGTTCCTTTGGAGCAATCCATGTCGCAGCACGCCAGCTTCGACGTGGTGATTATCGGCTCCGGCTTCACGGGGCTCGGTGTGGCCGCGGTCTTCAACAAGAAGGAGTAGTGTCCCAAAATAAGGGGACCCCAATACCCCAAAATACTATAGTCCTTATCATGGGAACACCCAAAAAAGGTACCCCCAATTTTGGAAACCCCGTAATAAAACCTTATATAAACCCTAGATTCCATGTCATTTTCTATTTTTCATTTGATTCTCCATTATAGTAGGTACGCCTAGTTTTGGGAGACCCCTAAACCCGAAACCCTATCCGAGCGGAGGTGAGCGCACTTTTCTGGATGCTTGATATGAAAAAAGCCTTCGAAAGGTATGCTGTGCTGGAAGTGCAAACTCTCTCTGAACTCGCACCCTATATCCCCCTTGTCAAGGTACCCCTAATTTTGGGAAACTCTGAAGGATCCCAGCCTGCGGATCGTCCTGGTAGCCAGGGAGGAGAGGCCCGGAGGCATCTGGACCGAAGCCGCCAACACCGTGAAGCTCCACCAGCAGACCTACTTCTACGCCCTGCCGAACCTGGTTGCGTTCCCAGGAATAGTTTTTAAGGGTTTAGGGTTTAGGGTTTAACGTTGGTTTAGGGTTGGTTTAGGGTTTCACGTTGGTTTAGGGTTGGTTTAGGGTTTAACGTTGGTTTAGGGTTTAACGTTGGTTTAGCGTTGGTGGTTTAGGGTATAGGGTTTAGTGGATCGTTCCCAGGTTTTTTTTATTATAGGGGGATATTATCATTAATAATAGAGAATCAAACGGAAAAGAAAATGGAAAATGGAATGGAAACTGGGTTTATATATATAGGGATTTGAGAAGGGTTAATTACCAATATCTGGATCGTTCCCAGGAATAATTTCATAATTATTATGGACCATAATCCCTACATATTCCCTATAGAGCTATAAGAATTGAATTTTCATAGAGCCCCTGAGTCAGATGTAGGAACATCCAGCATGACGATGCGGAGTGCCACAAGAGCCTGGCTTGCTGTTAAGGACTTTAATGTGTAAGTTACTATAATCCAGAAACCAGATTATCTATTGTATGTATCCGTATAGTAGTTTCCCAAAATAGGGGGACCCCAATATAGACCCCCAAATACTATAGTCCTTATTATGGGGACCCTCAAAAAGGTATCCTAATTTTGGAAAACCCCATATAAAACCTTATATAAACCTTAGATTCCATTTCCTTTTCCATTTTCTTTTCCATTTGATTCTCCATTATAGTAGGTACCCCTAATTTTGGGAAACCCCCATATTATGGTAACTTAATAGTTACCATAATATCAACCCAGGAGCTCGGTGCATCAGGCTATGAGCTACCAGGTCAGGACCTACGCCGAGAAAGTGGCCCGCACCCTGGGCTGTGCCCTGCTCACGGGCGAGGCCAGGCTTCGAATTCATTCGTTGCCACGGGGGAGATAATGAGGGGGGCGAGAAATTAGAGGCCCAACAATGGGGAGGCCTTATAGCAAGGACTATAGTATGTTTGGGATTTATGTCAGTGCCCCACATGGTTAGATACAGTCTATTACTAGCTATGATTACTACTACTATTATTACTGTTATTACTACTATTGCTATTACTATTATTATTCTTACTATTATTTTTCTTATTACCAATAGTAGTAATACTAGTAAGTCTTCTTCTGGCAGGTCGTGGGGGTGGCCCTGGATGGGAAACAGCGGGTGGTCCAGTACCGGGCCGGGGGCGACGTGAAGGAAGTCCGCGGTGACCATGTCATCCAAGCCACAGGTTTCGACAACTACTCAGGCGGTTTAGGGTTGACAAGTGTTTTGGGATTCTACCTTCTATCCCAGACTGGATTCAGGAAACCAGCTTGAAGGACGTCCAACTACCTGGACCCCAAAAATACTTAAAATCATGGCCCAAAGCTTAGAAACAGGGCCCAAAAAGCTGGCATACTTTAGATGTTCAGGTACCTCAGGTATCTGGTTCTGAAGCTTCAGAGGGGGGGGGGTCCCCGCTTGCCAGGTGTTCCGCGCCTGCTGGGGGTTCCTCACGAGGTGCACTCCAGTGCCCTCAAGAAGGTCACCGGAAGCCTGCGAGGGAAGCGTTGTGGCATGGCAGCAGCCTACAATCCCCCATGAGATCCCATGAGCTTGAGGCTCCAGGGTGTTGCAGTCGCAGTATGTCGCAGTGCATGCCAAATATGCCAACATCTTGTGAAGATGACTTTGAGGGGACACCACTTCCTCGGCTTTGCCTAGCCATTGGTCTCTCAAGCATTTGTGGATATTTGTGGGTTTCCCAAAATTAGGGGTTCCCTCTTGGGGTCCCCATAATAAGGACTAATGTATTTTGGGGCCTATGTTGGGGTCTCCCTATTTTGGGAAACTACCATTTGTGGAGCGCCGGACATGATCAGGTCTTGTGATCGGCAGCGGGAAGTCCACGATCGATGCCGCCAAGTTCCTGATCCAGGAAGGCAACAAGGTAAGATTCATCTATCGAAGTGCCTGTGCCTACGTCCGATGGGGTTTCAACAGCCCTCTGAGTGACATCCTGCAGTGGTTCCACCCCTTCATCCACTTCACGATGCTGGATGAGAGCGTGACACCGGAAGACTGGAAGTATGACTACTCACAGGACCTGGACTCTTTGGATTGGTACGTTGTGGGAGATCCGAGGACGTGCCAGCAGGTACGCGAAAAGACTCGCGGAGGTATCATTCCACTCCGTGACTTTCTCCTAATGAACCTCCTTCTGCATGGATATGGCATTTGTGGTGATGCCAGCCAGATGCAGTTCCGCAAGGAAGCCGATGATACCGTCAGCTGCAGTGCTTTTCCCGGCGAGAAGTTCGATCAGGTTGTGTCCTGCACGGGCTATAGCGGTTCCAAGAGTCTTTTTCCGCACTGCCTCAGTGCCGTGACTCCCATTACTGACCTGCACGTGCACAATGCGTGGATGACAGGACAGAGTGAGTGTGTGAGTTTGGGGAAAGCAGTGTTCGAATACACTCACGCCTTGCTTAGAACAGTAGGCTGCTATGTTAGCTATGAGCCCAGCCACAATCAACTCGACAGGACACCTGCTGTACCACATCATGAACGACCCGGAGAAGGTGGCGAGCTGGAACGCCCTCGCCAGCCACAAGCACCCCTTTCCCTGGCACGGCCACTATGCCAAGGTGCGCCAGTGGTGCGCTCAGCACGTCGACAAAGTCATCACAGGCGCCAAGGAGGAGATCGACGTCGCGATGCGGAAGGCCTCCCAGCTGCCGCCCAACGCCCTGAGCCCCGGAAGCCACCGGCTCCTCGCCGTCAAAGCCCTGACGCAGCTCGAGCAGCTCTTGGTCTCCTCCTGCAAGCTCTGCATCAGGGCGATGTGGTACTTGGCCCCGCGGCCCCTGAGCCGTGGCCTCCTGGCTCTGTGCTGGGGTCACCGCGACCGTGCGCGAAGCACCTGCTAAGCACGGAGCCCGGCTTCATTTTCCACAGTGATCCAAAATAGTGCGAAGGCTGGGCAAGAGTTCCCTGGCCTCATGGATAGGAATTCGCTGGTGACCAGACATCGGGAAAGGGCCGTAAGATGCATGTTGCGCCGCCTTGCCCCGAGTCCTGCAGCTTCTGTGCCATGCTACTTTTAGGAAGTACCTGGGCCTTCCAATGTAATTCCTTTTTTGGGTTATGGTCAAGATATCCAGTATAGCCGGAAACGGAACTATATTGGAAGGTCCAGGTGTTTGGCGCTCTGTTTCCGGGCTAGGCTCGGGAACTGGACGCCATTCAGGCAGCTTCCTTGGACAAAAAGGCGTGTGCCCGAGCTTGTGCAGCCGGCAGTGGCAATCCTGCTTCGGGGTCCCAAGAGACCACATATAGATGTCAGGAAGTCACCGTAGGTTTCTCGGAGAGTTGCTCTTTGCGTAGCTTTCCACCACAAAGGAGGATCCTGATCCCTGCGTTTGAAATCAGCTCTATCTCATTAGACACCCTGAAGCGGGCTCTTTTGCCATGCAGCGCGGAAGTGGTTTTCTGATATATGGGACCTTTCATTTTAGAAGAGCTTGAAAACATCAGAGGCTAAATACTGACCCACACCGTAGAAGATGTCCGCCTGAATTAGGCGTCCAGGCCTGCCGCTCGCGACCTCCCTCTGCCAGATGTTGTTGATGGTGCCCGCAGCCTTGACCGAACCGTCCAAACCCCTTGATGCAGGGGGTTTTCCATGGCCCAGACTTTCTCACGGTTTTCCAGACTTTCAGGTTTTTGACAGCGTTGTCGGGTGTAGATGCAATGCACTTTACGATGGCCTTCACGCGGCTAGCGTCGCTTCTCATCCTTCTGCTCGCCAAGCAGGCAGGATATGGGGGTTTCCCAAAATTAGGGGTACCTACTATAATGGAGACTCAAATGGAAAAGAACATGGAAAATGAAATGGAATCTAGGTTTATATAGGGTTTTATGTGGAGGTTTCTCAAAATTAGTGGGGCTCCATAATAAGGACTATAGTGTATTTTGGGGTCTATATTGGGGTCCCCTATTGTGGAAACCAGCAAATTTTGCCGTTCCGCCAAGCGCTGGCACTCCTCTCCTGAAGCCCTGCTGACAGGCCGATGGAGCAGACACAGATGACGAGGACTCTGCAGCTTTCAAGTAATAGCCCCACCCACAAGTGTAGAAGCGACAACAGCTGGGTTGCTCTTGACGGGTTTGCTTGAAATTACAGTTGCAAGGATTGGATCGTGAGAGGTCATAGTCAAACCGAGATCCGCTGACAGAAAACCAGACAAAGTTCATCTTGCACCCGCTTTGCGGCCACAGTTCCCTGCCATGTGGGAGGGTCCATGGAAGCAATGAAAGATGTGAGCGAAAGGAGCGACCAAGGTCAGAAGTCGGGCCCCAGGCCCTTCAAGGGGATATCGCGCAAGAGCGGCCTTACTTAAGGGGTCTATATGGAAATTTCGTAGGGAACGTTAGGGAACCCCAATTCGGGGTCAGACTGTAGGTCCGATCCAGAAATCCTTGATAGTATGGCAGGCAGCACACACTTCGAATGGACAGTAGAGTATGCTTGCCCGGTTCGTTCTTACTGTGTAATAGGCTAGAACTGTTAAAAGTTGGAAAAGGGGCCCCCAACTGAAGCATCCTGGCGTGGCAGTTCCCCCTGCATTGAAGAACGCCCGAAGTTAGAACTGGAAGAAGAGCCGGGTGCACCAACCGAAGTGTTAGAACAGCATGACTTGAGCTCCCGTCAACACTTCTCAAGGTTCTCCCCCAAGAATGGAAAAGAACATGGAAAGTGAATGGAAACTGTAGGTATATAGATATGTAAAGCATGATGAGGCTGCATGTAAGGATGTTCGAGCGTGATTTTAGTGGAGAAGCGCAGACAGTCGAAGAAGTGTGTGCAGACAAGCAGTTGGAGACGCACCTGTCTATGCTCATGAGGGGTCTGCTCTAAACGACGCGACCCGAAAGCTGGACCACAATTGCGGAGCATGTACTGCACTCCCACAAAGTAACAGGGAAGTGTATAATGGCCCCTTAAGGGTCCAAACACTAAACTGTAAGGTATCTACCCAAAACCAGAACTACGATTCGTAATATAGAAGCCTTACATACCTCACTTTTGGGTACTTAAGAGGACCCGTAGGGTGGTGACCCTGAAAGACCCCAAAATCAAGTTGCGCTTGGAAGAGGACTGCCAGGCTCTTGAGACCTCCTTCCTCCAGACTCACACAGGCGGGTCCCAAGTTTTTCTTTAGAAAGTTTACTATCTCTCTCCATCTCTCTATCTATCTATCTAGCTAGTGTCCAGATAGATAGATAATTAGATAGATATGGACAGACAGATATGGATAGACAGACAGATAATTTCTGGATTCTTTGAAGAGTGGGTGGCTTGCTGGTTTGGCTTAGCCTGTTTGCCGGCTGGCTTGTCTCCCACCCTTGTCCTTTTTAATGGGTTCCCCCCAAAGTAGACAGATCGGTAGTATGCCTCCTTTAATAGCTATAGGGCTCTGTCTATTATTTCGGAAAGGACAAGGGGGCTTGTCTCCCCTCATGTCTGCCGCATGCCGGAGGGGGTCGGAGGGTTATCAGAGGGTTAGTATATATAGGGAATTATCCCTTTCAACCCCTATATAAACCCAGTTTCCATTTCATTTTCCATTTTCTTTTCCATTTGCTTCTCCATTACTAGGAAATAATTTTGGTATTGAATCCGCAGGCTCCAGGCTGGTTGCAAAGCACCTCGCCCTTTTGACAATAGACTCCGGTGTAGACCCTCTTGCTGGAGGTGGAAGTCCAGCGGTCGACAATCGAGTTCGCAAGTAGGCCAACTAGGATCTAAATTCTGGTTCAGGTTCTTCCACCTCTACGACTAAAGCTACCCCTATAGACCGAGAGCCCTCGGCCAGGCATCGTTGGAGGACATCTCGGCACTTTGATCGCGGCGCCTGCCTCCGACTACCCGGGAGCGGCGGTCCAGGCGCAAAGTCCCGGAGCTGGCCTTTCTGATACACCAAAGTAGGGGCCCAAAAGGCCACATCAACATAAGGATCTTACATTCTGGTACTCCGAGAGTATATAGTATAAGGGGGATACCAGAAATCAGATTTTCCAGGATCCTTTTATGTTTATGTGGTCTTTTACAAGGTTGCGGGCAACTTTAGGGATATGACATAACTGTAATGCCGTAGGGCTTCTGTACCAAGTTGATCCATGCCGCTTTTTCAGTGTGTTACGAGGCAGGTTGTATAAGAAGAATCTTACTCGTCCTGGCATCATCTCATCAGCCGACGATCTTGGCTTCATAATTGAGCCCTGGCCAGGCCCCCTTTGGGTCAAGGAAAGTTAGCACGTGACCCCTTCTTTTCATGATACCGTACTCCTTGTTGGAAGTGTCACCCATCCGAGATTCTGGAGCTAAGTCTACGTTGGGATCCTTGTCGCCTGGACTCCTGTGAACAGTGAAGCGGGCAGTTGAGCTGCTCTTTTGTCAACTAGTCTTGGATCCCTAAGCAGCAGTGAGATGCAATTTTCCTTCGATTTCCTACCAGCTCCCGTTCATGGCAGATCCCTTTTTGCAATATGACCCCAGACCCCTTGGAGGATCTAGAAAGAAGAACCCCCAATAGGGTACCCTATACGCCCTATACTACTCTTGGGTAATGTCTAGGAACCCTTAAGGGGGGTTCTACTTTGTAGATCTGCCCAGGGGTCTTGCTTTTTAATGGAAGGATGAATTTTGCACTTTCCCAAGACCACACCCCTGAGCTCCGAGGTTCTTGAAGCCTGAGCAACCCGAAACTTGCAAAACTTGCACTGTTGGGGTTTAGGGGTTTATGTTGGGGCTGCCAGGTTTCTCGGCATTTGGTGGGGATCATCACCCAGCTCTGCCTGCCACTCGCCCTGGCCCTCGTGCTCTTCCTGCGGGACGGAGTGCCGCTGCCCTGCCCAAGGACAGCCGGGGAGCGACAGGGACCGAGAGGTGAATGAACCTAGCGAGCGGACGGACTTCTGAATGATGTGAAGTGCTTTATTCTGAGGTTCCAACGTTGGAAGATTATGGGTGCCTCAACTGGCAAATCTGGCAAGCAGGTGAGTTCAAGCTACTGCTCGTAGCAACACTTTGTCGATAAGAGTCTGCCTGTATGTTCAGCCTACTGTGTTGGAAAATTAAAAGACTTCCCGCCCATTCATACTCGACCCGGATGCGAAAAAGGCTGGAGCCTGGAACTGCATTGAAACCTAGCGGAGCCTAGCGGCCGAGCCAGCAGCAAGGTCATAAACGACAAACGGACTCAGGGACCTTCATACTCAGCCCACGGTGGTCCTACAAGCCTCACCAGCTTCGCCGTTTAAAGATTATCAGATTATCATCTTGCTTCCACGAACATCGGGTAGTACAAGCTCTGCTGAGTGTTCACAATAACCTGATGCTCAAGTCTTGCACTCCTGGTGATGTTGTCTGAAGGGGTTCTTTCACACTTCGTCCTGAGGTTTTCATCGGACGTGCAAGTGGATCGAGGGTTGGGGCTCTTGGAACTTGATGCGTGCAGCAAGCAAGTTGGGATGGCCCTTGCGTGAAATTCTGCGCCTGCCAGGATGGCCGCTCTCACCGGCTTCTCCCTTCTGGCCGTTGTCGGCTGCTTCGCCCAGCACACAGAGCTGCAGCCCCTGAGTTGGGATGGCTGCCTGCTTGTCCTCTGCGGCTGCCTGCTCAGCCTGGCAAGACGTCCTGCAAAGGAGCAGGGCGCCCAGCCCCTTCCGAACCTCAGTGAGGAGAGCGGCTTCCTCGTCTACTCGCCGGCGGTGGCCTTGCAGTGGATGCTCCTCCGGGTAACTCGCGTCTACCCGGTGTATTGGGTCGCGGTCAGCTTGGAAGACGTGTGGGATAACCAAGTTTTGGGAGCCGACTGGATCCTGAACCCTTTTCATCTCGTCTCGATGTGCCTGAGCACCTTCGCGCGAATCGCCGTCCAGGAGCCTCGGCGGCTCTTCCTCCTGTCGGGAGTGCCCGGGAACACCCTACCGACCTTCTGGCTCTTGCACGTGGTGGTGCTGGTCTACCTTGTGAGCCCTGTCTTGGAGTTCTGCCTCTTCCGGCCCATCAGGACTCAGAGAGGGCTGTTGGCCATGGCCGGGCTCTGCTTCACCCTGAAGCTGATCATCGTCGTTTGCGCCGCCACCATCCTTCAGGGTGGCGGCTTCCAGAAGGGCGACCCGTGGTACTGGCACAGCTTCCTTGGCACCACGGTGCCCTGGTACAGCTTCGCTCTCTTCCGGCTCCCAGAGGTTGCCCTCGGCATGCTCGTGCCCTACTTCGCCGCCGCGGACTTCCCCGGGCTCGTCACGGCCGCGGACGTGCTGGCAGCCGCGGTGGTCGCGTTCATGTTCCTGGTGCCACAGACGCCGCTGACGTACCTTTGCACGGACATGAACTTGCAATGCCCCGTCACGGCCTGGATTCTGTGGGGCTTGTGCTTCGGGCCTCGCAAGAGCATCCTTGGGCAGTTCCTCAGTTCCCCCTTTCTCGTTCAGCTGGGAAATGCCAGCTACGGCTTCTACGTGTTTCAGCAGCCTGTCCTGAGAACTGTCGGGTTGTTCTACCCGTCCTCGAAGGGCGGTAAGAGCCTCCTGGCCTGCCGCTACGACAACGGCTGCCTCCTGTGGCACCAGAGCTTCGGGGACTTCCTGGACGTGGTCCTGACCATGGCCACCCTACTTCTCTTGGGCTGGCTGTCCCGAAAAGTGGTGGAAGAGCCCGGCAAGTGGTGCGCCCGGAAGTTGCTGGGCCTGGAAGTCTCCATGGAGCCCTTCCAGAGGAGGTGGCTTCAGGCCGCGGACGTGTTCCGGAGCCTTGTCCAAATGATCGTCTACGCATGGCCCATCACGCTCTCCTTGGACTTGGTGGCCACTTGGAACATGGGTGCCGCCGCCTCCGGCTTCTTCCTGTCATGGGACCAGATTGGCAACGTCGTGGGCCTCCTTGTGGGCCACTTCCTGGGCGCTGCCTCCTACAGCTTCCGGCGCCGCCTCATCATCGTTTGCCCTCTCTTTGCTGGAGGCTTCTCGCTGATCATGCCGCACATCCTCCACCTCCCCGGGATCAGAGGCTACTATATGGGGCTCATCCTGCGCTTCCTCATCGGACTGCTGCAGGGCAGCTGCATCACGAACAGCGCCATCACACGGCTCCTGACGCCGCGCGAGGAGCAGGTGGGCCTGTCCATGTTTGTGAACTTCAGCTGGACCGGTGGCGTCGTGATGGGTGTTGGTTTGCCATGGGCCATCTCGACAGTCTGCAAGATGTCTGAGCTCACCCCTCCTGTCTCGGCCATGGACAGGTCTTGCGCCTGCGCCTTGGCCTGTGGTGGCCTTTTGATGCGCCTGGACGCCGATTTGTAGTTCCTTTTTTTTGTTGCATTTGTTACGGATCTTGGTAAGGATTTGTAGTACGGAACCCGGGGCTTCAGGCTGGTCTCCTGGATGAACGCAGTGAGCTTGCCACTCAGCATGGAGGGCCTTCCGACCTACGAGGAGGCTGGCCACGAGGATTCTCCGGATGCCAGTGCATCCAGCGCTGAAATGAAGGCTGAAGGCAAGGTCGACAAAGTGCCGGGCTCCTGGATTACTCTGACCGGGCTATTCTGCCAGTTCTTGGGTTCCGTTGGCTACACCGGTGTGGAGGTGTCAAGCTCTCTTCTACTCGAGGTGCAGTTCTCGTGGGACATCGATGCAGTCAGTTTGGGTGTCAGCGTGGTGTACTTGATCGCGGCGTTCGGGAGCTTGTTGATGTTCCAGCTACGGGAGAATCTAAACATCAGTGACAACCTCTTGGTCGTTGTCATGTCCGTCGCAGGCCTCATTGGCAGCCTGTCCTTCTATGACTTTATCAATGGCCCGTACGTGCTCCTGGTTGGGAGTGGCATCATCTATCCGTGCCTGATCTGCTGTGTAGGGATCGCCGAAGGCAACACCTTCCTTCATGCAAAGGATGGGACATGGCGTTCAATGGAAAATCTCGTGACGCTGTCCTACTTGACGGATGCGTGGTCCAAGTCCATTTCGCCCCCAGTGACGCGAGGAATGCTGGAAGGCTTCGGTCCTAACGTCTTCGCGACATATCAGCTCTTGATCCTCTCCTTCCAGTGGTATGCCCTTGAGAAAGTGCTGCAAACTGCGTGATTTAAACAGTTTTGACCTCCACAACAGCATGGCACTCCAGTGCCGTACGGGCCTGCAGCCATGCAAAGTTCTGGCAGACACTGATGGTGTTACACTGATAGTGTGAATTTGTTTTCGGACTTCATTGCCCGTAATTACGCAGAAATTGCGAGAAAAAGCTGCAGCAGCAGTCCTTCTGTGGCTGTCCAGCTGAAACTGCACTTCTCTGCACAGGGCCGCAGAAGCTTTGCAACCCATGACCTGTCATTGCGTGGGTCTAGCCCCGAACATGTAAGGCACCATCTTGTGTCCTTGACGGAGAACGTTGGAAGCTTGGAAGAGGGGTTGAATAGAGCGAGGCAAGTGACATGTAGCCACTATAGCCTGTGGCGCAGCGCCACAGGCTACATTGGCAATATAGTCCCTATATAACCCATTACAGTAGTTTCCATTTTCTTTTCCATTATCCCTTCTATAACCCCTATACAAACGTATAAATTGCAACGTGGCAATGCCAGCTGCGAGCTGCAAGTCACAAAGTCAGCTGTACGGTTGTGCAACGGTTGTAATTGTATCGGTTGCTGTCGTGTCGCTCTCTTCATCGCACCAGCCTGGTATTGTCTGTAATGATGACTGAAGCCAAATCCTGTAACAGCAAGTCAAGGCAACGGCGCAGTGGGCGTGGCTGGGCCCTCAGCACGCACGAGACAGGACATGATAGCTTGAAAGCTGTGGAGCCGCAGGGCTGCTTTCAATGACAAATCGAGCATTCGGCTGGCGCGGGCGTAGAGCACGCTTCCACAAGAGAGCGGCCCGCTCGGCTTCTTCAGAGCAAGTTGGTGCCTCTCACTTACTTGATTCCCAGATCATTCTTTGGTAGCTATTGTTGCATGAGTATGCTCAGTGATTTCTTAGTCTATTTTGCAAATAGAAAACCAGGTTGGGGGCCACTGATCGTGAGGCTGAAGACCTTCCCAAGGGATTGAAGAGTCAGAAGAAACCACTTAGAGGAGAATCTATCTGGAGACTCTTTTGTAGTTCCTGTTTGGTAATGATCTGTTTTCTTGTTAGGGACTGTGATATACTAGGTGTCCCAGAGGAAAAGGGGTACCCTTTGTCAACAAAAGGTTACTGTTTTCTTGCTAGGGATTGTAATATGGTAATTTCCAAGTTTCCCAAAATAGGGGGACCCCAATATAGACCCCAAAATACTACAGTGCGTATTATGGGGACCCCAAAAAAGCAGCCCCTAATTTTTTGGGAAACCCCCATATACCACACAAGCAGGAACTACATGGGAGTCTCCAGGCAGAGTTCTTCCGCAACAATGGCGGAGGGTAGCTAATGTATATAATCCCCTATACAACCCTTACATAAGCCCTATATAAGTCCTAGACAATCCCTATATAACCCCTAGATAATCCCGAAACACCCCCTATATAATTCGAGGCTAAGGCAAATGCAGTTCCAGGCCTTCTTCTGCTCGACAGCCAGTTTGCTTGAATTAACCATTCGGTGTTAGCTGGTGATGTCCCAGATGGACAGCTGGATTCTGCACGAGATAGCAAAACGATACGGACAGGTGCATGGCGGAAGCGTAAGGCGCACTGCGTTCGTGCTGTCTTTGAGGCTGGGGATAGGCAGACACAGTGTCGAGTGTCATGGGGTTGCACGGTCTTTTGATATAGAGTCGAACTTTGGGAGGTCAACCGGTTCAGTATGGACAGGGGTCTGGTCGGTGGTGTATGTGGTTGTTCAGAACACGGATCCCTGCGAGCTTGTGCCTTGCAGTGTTTCCGGGCTTTCGGGGCGCTTGTGCGTTCCCGTGGCCAGTTCTGATGCCCGCATGCACTTCCGTGCCAATTCTGATGTAGGCTTGTTGGTTTGTTGCAGGTTGCAGTACGCTTGACTTCATGGGGCTTTTCTTCAAATGGACAGGTCAAGGCATATGTATATGTCACTCATCTAGCTTCCTCATTCTTCTTCACGTTGTATGAGAGCTCGACACTCATTCGGTATCACTTGGTGACGTCCTAGACGAACAGCTAGATTCGAATGTCCAAATTGTGAAGGTGCTGGCTACATAGCAAGCCCGGGTTTGCGCAACTTGTGCCTGTTTGGTGTCCGACTGAGGGGATGCAGAAACCGACAGACCTATTTAAACTCCACGCGTATGTAAAGTAACGGACCCAACTTTTGTAAGACAGGCAGAAAGGACTATATCGGCAGCATGTTTGGGGCTTGTGTCCATGGCTTTGGGGAGTGTGGGCAAATGGGTAATACAAAGAGGGGCAGTATAGGGTGATGAGAGGGATAAGGTTGGGTGCTGATTAGTGTAGGGGGGCCCCCCCCTCCCCCCCCCTCCCCCCCCCCTAA